CATTACATTTTGCAGCACAGTAGAAGAAATTAAGTACTTCTGAGTCCAGATGAACTGTGTAAGGTGGTGAGGGCTGAAAAATAGGTTATTCCAGTTACACCAACATAATCATCTAGTATTTACATTAACCCTATATTGAGCTAGTTTTTAAGATTTTAATATGCTGGGCTGAAAGAATCTGGACTTAGCACCGTGACTTGTAAGGTCAAATTAAAACACAGAGAAGCATTTTTATTAGTGAAGCCTATTTTTTTAAACTATCTCACATTTTATAGACCAACCTAACAATATTCAACAAGCGAATACTTTAATATTCACAAGCATAACCATATGAAAGGCCTTTTTATTTGTATGGCTTACAAAGAATTGATGCTGCAAACATTTCCAGTAACAGTTCTCCTATTATAAGGCTCATGTATAGACCATATATTTCAACAAACATGTCTGAACCTAAAAACTTAGAGCGGGTTGTTTTTTGTTTGGTGGGGTTTTTTTTTTTTGTTTGTTTGTTTTTTTAAAAAAACCCAAAATTTTAGGTAAAATTCTAAGGAAAACTGCAGCTAAATTACAAAACATCCGAAAGTTGCATAGGCAGCTTTCCCAAGCAAGAGTCATCAACTAATCCAGGAGAAAGAGTGGAAGTGGGTGTGGATGGCTGATTAACAGGACAAATTAAGAAACTTAGAAAGCATAAGTTATTAGGAATGCATTAAGTAAAAAGTTGACTGACAGTACAGTTAAACACTACATACATGTAGTTCCTTTATTCTTCTGAATACATCAGGGTCTCAGGAATTCAGTTTTGTCGCTAGGTAAAAAGGTATAGTTCAGGGAACATCAGATGTCAGGCAAGTTTTTCAAGCTCTGTCCTCAAAATGAAATCACTATGAATGAAATATCCAGTATATTTCTGACATTCTACAGTTGATAGGAATTCAGTTTAAGACATTCTATTATTAATATATTGCACTGAAAAAGTGAAGAAAACTTTCCAAGTTCTCTGCATGGGAAGGGTTGCATTCAGTAGGTGAATAAGTGCAAGTACACATTTTATGACTAAGTCAAAACTGGATATAAAATACAATGTCGGTTTTAGTGATGTCCCAACTTCATTATCAAAACTACTGACATTATCTTGACATGCAAAAGAAAGTTATATCATATTAAATTCCTCTACTGTATCTCAAGCTTGTGCCAAAGGCATTGCCCTTCTATGAATCATTCCATATATTTTGGGGGAGTTTGGGGTTCAGGTTTTTTTTTTTTTGGGTGGAGCATCAGGGGTTGTGCAGTGGGTTCAAAAGCTACTTTATACCAGGAGCTTAGTTTGTTAATATTAACACTGTGCATTCATTATCTTTGTATGAACCTTCCCTGGACTCAAAGGGCACCTTAAGTTAACTCACACTAAAACACTCTATATAAACTGGCAGGTGAAGAGCTATGACACATAGCCAGGATTGTTTTAAAACTTCGTATTCCTTCCAGTTGGAAGCATTTTAGAAATGAGCACATTTTGCACCACTGGTGAAGCAATACTGTCACCTCATCTAAGCTACACAGTTTATGTTTCAAACAAATAATAGGTATCAGCAATCTTAACTGCCCTACTAAGCTGGTATTTCAGCATTGAATAGTGGCTAGTTTGGTTCAATTCATTACATCTGCCATAACAAGTTGTATTTTAGACTACTCAGCAACAAAAGTTCTGAAAAATTTCTGTTCTTAACAGTATACTGTGTGGTATTTAACATTCAGATGAAGGTTAAATAAGGCATGGTTTCTCAATGATGGCATGTTATACACCCATTTGTGTGAAAAAAGTAGCTTTGTGTTTAATTCCATTATTACAGTATCTATTTCATTATTAAACTCTTATTAGCCCATGTTTAAATGGTCACTTTAAATTGGTATAAATATTTAAATTTTGTTTTTATTTTTTGCTTTTTCAACAAAAGGACTCTATGAAATACAGTTCTTAAATCCAAACCATCTACTGAAAAGAATAGATGCTACTTACACAATCAGAAAATACTTGTACTGCCAGCCATTTTCTGGACAATGAAACTAAGTTTGGTGAAGGCTAATCTGGCACGTCAGCACTGCCACTGAAAAGGTTAGCCCTGCAACTTCCCTCTCACCATTTCTGCACCCTTTCTTACAGCAAGTTTGCTTATATAGTGAACTGAATGACGAATTAATCTGGCTGGAAAATAACCAGCCAAATCACTTTTCCATCCTGTCTGGCCACATCACCAACAGGTGCTTCCTCTGTCACAAATGGGAAGATTTAAGTTTATAAAGTTCAAACTGGTACCAGAGATACAGCATAAGAATTTTTGTGGTCCAGCTGGCTTCAGTTGCTGTTTCCAGCAGCTAATGGTAGTAAATATTAGGACAGCTTTTCCTTTGTTTCCTGGCTACAGAAGACAGACATCTCATCAGAAGCCAACTCAAACCAGAAGATTATTTCAGTACTCATAAGTAGCAGCTGTTTAGTATCTTTATTAAGTTAAGGAGATGCAAGTTGAACAGCTGTATGCCAATGAACCACTACACCTGGACAAAGTCTTAACTAACCATTTGGTGTAAGGCCATTCAAAAAAATCAGGTTTAAATTTTCAGAATCTCAAACCTAATGTTGACTGAATGCCTTTAAGTTTCATCACCTGTATTTAAATAAAACAGCACTTTAGAGTCCATGGGCTAAATCTAAATCGTTTAAGTATTTTGCAAAAGCTTTATTTCCTACCTTAGCACAAAGTAATTAGAATATTTGATTGAAGGTTTTAATGTTATCATTCTCCATGATGACATACATCACTTATAAATTGTTATTCACAATAAACTGGCTGCAACTACAAAAAAGCAATCTTATTTATACAGTTTTTCAAACTGTTACACACCCTCAAAACTACTAAATAGACTGTATGAAATAAACCACAATTCATTTGATCTTTCCCAATTCATATTTGAAGAAAAATGAATATATTTTGTAAGAACACACTCAGACCGATTAACAGGAATTTGTGGACTAAATTTACAGCCTGTCAACTACCCTCTCTTTGGCAGGAAGTGTTAAATGTGTCACAGGAAACTACCAAAATCCTAAATTATGGACTAGTTTGACCTTCTAGTAAGTTTCCATTCAGCCTCCTCAGTTAATGATGGATTTGTACCTCAGAGCATAGGGATTTAGAATCAATTCCACATACAAATACCAACACTTTTCTTCATGACTAATAGTAGCCGTTATCAACCTGTTTGGTCTAAGGTCTGGTGTGACCAAGGTCCATGAAGTAAGAGAAGAAATCTTTTTTTAGACCTCATCATTGTAGGTATGGTTATCATTTTTATACAATAAGGATTTTCAGGCCACCTTATTAACACACATAGAACACACAAGGCTAAGTAAGCTGAGTGCTCTATTTTACAGAAGAGTATTATGAGATCTTTACCAACAACAAGATGAACCTACTTCCAGAAAGAATGGTCTCATCCTCCCTCCATCACCCCTTCAAGTCATACTGATTTTTTTTTTTTGCCAAATAATTTTCAGCTCTATGAGTTCCCAAATCCTATTCCTTGCCTGGTTTTAAGACTACTAGTGCTAGAACAAAGATGACGCTGGGAATGCGGTCAGGCCTGTTCCTCTCTGTGGTAGTGCATGCTTTGGTAACAGCCTAAATTAATGATCAGCCTGCAGCTTAAGAGTGGCAGCATTAGACTGAAACTAAACTGCACTATCTTGCAACCTTGCTGGAGATGTAATTTAAAAGTGGGGAGGTTTACAATATTAGGAGCCTCTGCAGCCTCTCGTCTGCAGTCTTGTTTATTAGAACAATTCAATAGCGAAGACTAGAGATTGCCTGTGAAGCAGCAGCAGCAATATGACTCTTCTTTAAATAATAAAATTCCCTGGACTAAAAAAAAAAATCACAACAGAAAACGTGGTTTTAAGGACAGGACTTCCAATTCAGGATTTGGGTTGCAGTTCTACAGCAGTTACAAATACAAGCCTAATGCTAACCTTTTGGGAGCATGCACTGAAATTCAGTCATTACACCATACAACTGCAGTAGCAACACTTCATTCCCTGAAGAAATTACAAGCTGGCACAGAAGCAGAACGCTTACTCATAAAGAATATTCCAAACACAGATTCAGAAGACCTGGTTCTACCTTGGCTCTGTCAAACTTCCTATGTTTCTACATATGGCTAGCAATTATTTATCAAGTTCTAATTACTTAAATTACAACTGAAATAAATAGAAAAGCAACGGCATTACATATTTCATTATAAGACAGTGGTGCTGCATGGAAAGGAGTCAAAGAAACAGATACAGACAAATATTTTAACTTTCTTCCTATTTCTCCTCGGTTATACAAAAAGCACAAGGTTATTCTAAAGTGCAAAGATCTTCTTAAGTGAAACTTACAAATTATACTTCAGTTACACTGAATATTAAACTTTTGTACTGGATCTTACAATCCCATGTTAAATGCAAGGCAAAGCAAGTCTTGTAACAGCAGTTATGTTTTCCTCATGTCAAGTAATTGCTAAATTCCACGATAGCACAGAAAATAGATGACAACATTACACAGGAAACAGAACACCTTTTTTGGCCTATTTTTGCAATGATTTTTTACAAAAATTATGCCAAACTGTCTGAGGAGATTTAATTGAGAAAGTCAAACTTCAAATTGTATTATAAACTCAAAATCAACTACCATTCTGTTTCTAGTATGATTCTGTTGTTGAAGCTTCAAAGTGCATTAATAGTTACCACCAGGAGTTTGAATGAGTGATTACAAGCAACAATTTCACATTTATACTGGACATCAGAGCAAATACTTCATAGAAACTGTAAGCACTGCATTTTCATGCATTCTAGCTAGCATTATTTTGATGACTATATTTCACCATTTATATTTCACTATAATTAAAACACATATACGAATAAAATATTTAAAGCAAATACCTTTTAAAACATCACTAACCTTCCATGAGCATGAAAATCTAGGCGCAAGAACTGATCTTCATGTGATACCGCTCTTTTGGCACGCTGGTGTTTTTGGTGTAACAAATCCACATCATAAGACAATCCTTCATAATGTCTGATGTACTTATTTAGAGGATTTCCATACTGGCCTGAAAAGAGAAAAAAGCAAGGCTTAGCACGTCTGAGAAATTACTAAGGTTACAACCACACTACCAGGTATGGCAGATCTGTGGTGCAAACCAGTTGGTGATGAGGACTCAACTTTCACATTACATGCATTTTAGCTTTCTTTTTTCTCCCTTGTACACTTCGGATTCATTCTACTCTGGTCCCACAGACTGAATGCACACTTAGATGGACCTTTGAAGGCATCTTCCACTTCAATTTCAATCAAAATGAGTATAGCTCATTTACTCCAAAACTACTCCACAATGCAAACTACATTGTTGTACATACGAATGCTTCAGAGATGTTTCAGAAATGCACTCCTGATCCAAACACAAGTGCAACAGCTGAACATCTTTCTTCTGGTTCCCTAGAAGAACTGTACTTCCAGCTTTAACCTGCACTCATGACACCTAAGTATCTACTCAGAACCTTTATAGTCCACATGCCAAATATCCAGAAAAATTAAGAGCAAATCATGCCACCTAGCAACACAACATTCTGTAACACATGGAATGTTCTATCACATGGAAAAGTTGTATTAAAGATGTATCTCCAAAGACATCGGTTCAGTTCAGTCTATTTTGGACACTTCCTTATAAGGTAATATTTCTGACTTGCATTAAAAGTCCATGACAGAAAACAGGGAAAGATTTTGGTCCTCCTGTCCTGATGGAGAAAGGGACATGAAGAACTGACCAGAGGCACTAGCATTTGAGCGCTTCTCATAGATCTATAATATACATAGAGAGGACCGCCATATCTATTTACGCTAGACATTAGACATTTTACTCTAACACAGTATTTTTCAGTCCAAGGTTAGCATTAGTAGGTCAGTACCTGGATAGAAAACTCCTTATACTGCCCAGACACCTATCAGATATACTGCTGACATGTACTTTTGCCTATCAAACAGCCAACAGGCCAGTAATTGTAAGAACCAAAATGGTAAAGAAGTTAACATAGCATTATTTTTCTCCAGACAAGGAGCATTACAAACATTTGGTTAATTTTGGACACTACTTCTGAATAAGTACACAATTTCCAGCCAGGATTCACCTTCTTATTAGTTAATATATCCCAAGCAATCGCGGAAACGTACGCACAATAAATTGACAGCACAGCACATATTTAACAAGAAGTGTATTTTCACATTCTAACCACAACCAAGGTCTCCATCCCCTGCCCCTGCACATTCAACACTGAAACTCTTCGCAAGTCTTTCCACACTTATATCAAACACCAGCACTAGAACATTATGCATAAAAAATATTTAATCTACCTGCCAAAAGTAAACATAGATGTTGTGGAAGGAATTATTAAGAGGAAGTGATTCAGTAACTGTTATCAGAGACCAAAAAAGATAGTCAGAAGTTCCAACAGTAGAAAACAGTGTGGAGAAATAAAAAAAGAAAAAAAAACACTAAACACAGCTTGTGGAGCAAACCACTGTGTCTTTGCAATGGAGGTAGTGCACACAGTATGTTTTACATGCACAGTGAAAACCAGTTTTTAACCAGTTTCTATTTAAAATATCCAATCATAAGGAATAAATTTAGATATCTATAGCTAGAATCTACAGTCAAGAGTGAGACTATTTCAATAGTTCTGGCTTGAAAGCCAGATTATACATGGCCGAAATTATGCCATGTTTCTTGATGCACTACATTGTAAAGCCAGCAAAAAATTAAAGATATTAAGTGGTGTATAATGTTTCAAAACTCTGAGAAGTAATTGCATGTTTTGATAACGTAAATTTTATCAGCAGCTAGCATGCAAACATTCATCCTGTTTAAAATAGCCTTGCAATATTCTTCTACACACTTTGCCCAGCAAACTTACAATCAATTCTTCTCTTGTAACTCCATAGAAGCAACTGTTTCTGAAGAACAAATCAACTACTCATTACAGAAACTACTTTGTGTATCAAATCATTCAAAGGTAAGCACCATCTCCTACAGTTTTATTATGCGAAGTCAAATTTTCTTTTAAGCAACCTGTGACAGCAATATATTGCCAAATTTATTTGCTGAAGGAATGTTTCAGCACTGTCATGTTAAGTAAAAATTTCCATACAAGTTCTTCCTTACATGAGCCCTTTGATAAAGCATATTCCAAAACTCTAGAAGGTGTTTCAGTAAAAACCAAATAGCTCACTGAAACAAGTCAGCCCTAGCTTTTTAGTTCACTGAGAAGCAATGCGGTGGATAAACTGAGTGCAGTAAATGTATCATCATCATTTTTACTAGCCATAACACATCATCTTTCACAAAAAGGACACAGAAATTCAACTGTCAACCTTTGCATTTATGAAGAGATAGGCCCGATGTAAAACCTGAATTGCCTATTGAAAGCTGTGGTATACAAACACAATCTTATGTACACTAAGAAAATGAAATTAGACTATAGAACATACAAGTTGCTGGTTTTCCAGTTCCAGTTTCGACCTGCAATCTTCAAACATATCCTTACGAAGAGTGTAAGATTTGTTTCCATACCTTAGGAACTGCATTTCGTAGTAGTTACGACTACATTCTGAAGGTTGGGCAGCCACAATAAACAGTATAATGTTATGTAGCAGTTTCTGTTTCAAGGATGTATAAACCTTTCTTTTTTATTATTATTTTCTCTTCTGTTACTTTTTTCACCATATGTTGTTCTTACTTCACTGTGTGTATGCAAATGTTTGCCCCATTGTTCTAGACTCCTCACCTCGCTTCAAAGCCTTCCTTCCTCAACCTCCTCCTTTTAAGGAAGGGAACAAATTATTCAGTTTATGCTTGATTTTTCAGGAACCTGTCATCAGCTATCATTTCTTTTTCCCTGAAGAAATATCAAAGTGCAGCATTTGAGAGATCAAACAGAAAGTGAAATCTTCAATTTTCTCCAGAATTCTTAATTCTGTAAGAAAAAGCATGATATCTTAAATTCAGTTTAACCTCAGACCAACCTATATGTGAGAATTCTCAGAGATTTTATGCAGTATTTTTCTTGAGGTATCTATACTGACAAGCTCCGGGGAGGCCAAATGAAATACAAATGTATCCCAAAGCTTTGCCCCAGTAGTGTTACATTTCCATAAAGATGAAAATCTGGTTTTGTACTAAGAATACAATTTTGTAAGCAAAAATACAAATGTACCTTTCCCTGTATTTATCGTCAAGAGGTCTTTCTTCAATTAATACCACAAATTTCTCAATGCCTCTGTTTCTTTTCAAGGGATTAGAATGTCTGATCACCAATACGCTTAATGAGCAACGCAAAAGATGACTAAATAAATTAACACTTCCAAATACATCACTTGTATTTAGCAGCAATGTGCGTAAGATGATACTGCTGTATCTTTTTAAAATTCAAGTAATGATATACTGCAGATAAACCGCATTCAAATTTCTTCACAGTACTGTCAGCTTCTGCAAATGTTGACTCTTCGTCGTTGACTGCAAATACAGTCCAATAGCAAAACTTCATTCTAATTTCCTCTCACTTCCAGTCTCCAAATACAAGTCCATTCTCCTCCAGATTTCCAGAAGCCTCTCGGTTGTCTTAAACATTTATAAAATTTGTGATTTAAGCAGGTCACCATGAATTCTAATCCAAGTAAGACACAGGATGAATGCAAAGTTTCAGCAACCAGCATGAGGAATTTTGAGGATGAAAGATGTTGTTCCTGTCTGATGTTTCTCTAATCACTACCAACATAATCCCACAGAACGAAGCAGAAACACCTCCTATGGACCAAGAACTTCTATAAACCAAAAAAGATTAGCCTAAGTCCACTTGTTATATCAAACCAATGCACAATATACATTAGCCTGACATGCTTTCCAATTCCAGGTATATGACCCAAAAGTGTCAACACTAAAGAAAACAAGCTTCAAAATTAGCTGATATAAGCTAAACCTTTCATTTTAAGATGAACCTAAGTCTAGAATATATTAGTAACTAATTTTAGAAATTTTGTCAAAACCAAGTAGTTAGTACACTGGACAATGTGTAAACTTCTGTGCTCCATAATCCCAAGACTATTTAACAAGTTAAATTATCCTCAACTTTTCTGTGGTAGGAGGCTTCTGATAATACATTTCTTAAATTGTTATAGGCCATTTTTTTCCCCTCAGTATTACAAGGTAACCTTTGAACAGCTTCAGGCACATAGAAAAAAAGTTTTAAAGCATGACAACTTATTCAAGACCCAATAAGGCTTTGCACCTGATCCAGGTCTCATGACCACGTGGAAAGCTGAGAGACTGCACTTAACCAAGTCACAAAGAATAGTTTTTAAGTGCTAACTTCCGTGACAAGACAACAAAAGATTACTGACATTAAAAAGCCTTATAAATGTTCTCTCTGCAAAGCAAAAGTAAAGAGGGTTTTAAGCAAAACTACTTTTGCTTAACCAAAATGTATACACCTCCTGTGATCACACAGGGAAACAGTGCTCTTTTCCCTTTCTCCAAAGCGTAAAAAACTCCTTATGTTTTAAGTATTCTCGTAGTGATTACTTAACACAAACCCTCTTGCTGCTTTTTTGCTACACCAAAGCAGCTGCGTATCACCTAGAGTATATGCTATTTCATAGCTTTTCTAAAAAGGTACTTCAGACAGGGTTGAAATCAAGGCTTCAAAATGAAACGTTTACTTTCACTTCCAGAATCATGTATATTAACATTCCTACAGCATTTGACGTCTGCAACTGATATACAATGTCCTCTAATAAAACCAGCTACATATCAAAAGTGATTATCTTCTTCACAAAGACAGCTTAATAAGTAACTCAACCTTAATAACATAGTTTACAGGATCCTGGGGCAAAAGTTTATTAAACTGGAAAGAAGACTTCACCAGGTGCATGAGGCAGGTACAACTGCTAGCTCCAGTTTTTGTAATTATAAGATTCTGCATCAAAAAGGAAGAAGTTGAGAGTAGTGCACCCCAAGAAATTGTTACAATAGCATGCACACAGATCTCAACCTCTGTGACAAACTATTGTGGTTATTTTGTTGTCACTGAAAGACTAGTATTTTTGTAAATATAGACTGCAAGACAGATCTTTCCAAATAAGGATACGATCAGGAAGCCTGCAGTAAGGAACACAGAAGCATAAGCACATCTACATATAGTTTAAGGGAGCTGCTCTACAAATTACACGTACCACATTGCCATCAACCAAACATCAAAGATGGCATGATGCCTTTCCAGGCAACCTAGTGGAATAAGCCAATGTTATACTTTGTCTAAATGCTGAGCTAGTGGACAGGAACCCTTTAGGATACAGATATCCAAGAGTGACAATGGGATGGCTTTTGAACCTGAAGGACAGTCTCCTAAAAACTTGCTAAACTAGATGTGGCATTTCCTAAGACAAAAACCCTCCAGGAATGAAACTTTATTCTCATGGGCTTAGAACTAAATACAAGGAAGGACTTTAAACAGAATTAGGCAGAACATTTAGGCAAATGTCTCAAGGTGACAGTCCCTGTGAAAGCTTTTTGTGTATGAGGGTCTACAGCTCTTCAGCATCCCTACAGAATTGTAAAGAAAGTATCTACAGCTGTCGTTCTGAACAGACACAAATCCCACTGGACAGATAAGGAATGCGAAGCATATATTCTCACCTTCCAACTAAGCTTACGCAAAGGGTAAAATGTATCACCCGTGGGATTTTAGCTATAAGCCTCCTGGCACACCTTGAGCAGCTATATATAACAATTGTTTGGTAGTCTATGCTAAATTATTTGTTATTCAGTTCATTCATCATGTTTTTTTTCCCCAGAGAAGAGTGTGAAGACTTTCCCTGTCCCCCCTGGACAAGACCTTCCCAGTCTGTGGGAGTGAAACAGAATTAGGAAGTTTATATATATCGTGGTAAAAGATGACAACATTTAACTTCCCGTAAGAGGATAAATCAAGCATGCACTGTTCTAGAAGGTGAAGTTTATATTAAACCACTCAGATTAAGACTTGCATGACAAAGGCAAATAGGTCAAAGCCACTTAAAGTTTGTTAGTGGAAAAAACTAGCACAGAATACAACTTAATAGACTATCAGTAATTGTTCAGCAGACAGGCTAATTTACCAGACAGCTCTTTTTACTGCAAGCATCATCACTGATTTGCAGATTTGAAATGTCAGCATATGATAAATATCTTTAAAAGAATTATTATTATAATTTCAATTAAGATAATCAAAGCAAGCTGTACTTCTTTAAAATGTTTTCAATGTAGAGCTTATTTCTCTTTAAAAATATTCCCTGTACATGGGACAGTAAAGAGTGTACACAGCATTCAGATTTACCACTTCTGTGCTTAAGTATATTGAAAGCCAGTAATCCTACCATATACCTCCCAACTTGAATGTCACCAAGGAGTTTACTCAGGTTATAGTTTCATAACCACCAGCAGGTCTGCACAATAGACCAATGGAAGTTACATATCTGGCAGGAAATTATTAACTTCTTTTGCTTAAATTAGCAGGCTGAATTGGCTCCTCATGCAATCAAACACAAGAGGCAGTTAAGAAAGAGAGGTGGGAATGCATGGCCAGGGCAGGACCGACTGACAGCAGTAACCCATTACAGAGGCTCTGCCATACTGCATAATTGAACCATTAGATCCTTTTAAAAGCAAAAATAAACGGCCATCTTAGGCTTTTGGGTAATGGTATTTCAAAGTTACTATCTAAACACCTGATTTTATTTACCTTTAATTACCATGGGCATTTCCGAAACAATCATCTGACAGCTGCCTTTAGTACCATCTCATCCAGCCATACAAGTTTTGTAATGTTTTTTCTTTTAAACCCCAGATAAGGGCTGGAGGCTGAGTGCCATGTTAACGAAAGCTAGTATTCTTCTCAATTTAGAGCAAGGATGCAAACTAAATCACTCAGATGCTGACAGCTCATAAATGCCTTCCCACATCTCCCCCATGTGTTCAGAAAAAAAGATTTCCTTCCATGCTCACTGGGAAATAGCTAGTTCAATATCCAGCAGCAGAAGACACTAAGATACAACTTGGAAGTCCTAGCAACATAGAAGAGTGTGCTGCACCAGTGAAAACAAGCAATTTATCATAGATTTGCAATGACGCTCATCATCTGATCAGCCTAGCCAAAGCAAGATCGCTCTTGTTAAATCCAAGCTTTTTGGGGTCTCATTCATTCTCTTTTCCATACTTTCTATTCCCCCTTCTCTCTTCTTTTTTTAAATGACCCTCAGGGAAAAGGAAAGGTTTGATCAGTTATTTCCATTCCTCAAAGAACATCATTATGTATGGATGATTAAGTACTGTTTAATATACCCACATGCACCTTCATCCCATGCAACAAAACATGCTACTAAAAGCTGCAAATAATATTGCCCAAACTAAGTACCACTTTATACACATCAAAATTCTTAACAGCACCAGCCACTGAATAGATCCCTTAAGCCAAGCAATTCCAAGGATATTGGGGAAAATGCTGAGATTCACTTTTTTTTTCTTTAAAAGAAAATAACTCTTAAAATTCAAGGCACATAAATCTTACCTCAAATAAACCATCTAAGTCATGTTGTACCTTATTATTTTAAAGCGTTGATTTTGTGATTCATACTTAACTGTGAACTAAAGTTACAATTGGTTCTGTTAATCTACAACACACCTTTATCTAAAGTATCTAAAGACTATTACAATAGAGTATAAATACAGTAACACAGGCACAAAAAGCCTTGAATGATTCTGAAAGAAGAGTTCAAACTCAGACTCAACATACAGAAGAGCACTTTTTTAAAAGGTGCAGATTAATGGAATTTTCAGAATTATTATTTTTTCATGCCTAAATTACTTAAAACTGACAACTTCACAGGTAAGTATAACTTAGCTTCAAGATTTGTGTAAAATTAATGAGCACAAGATGCCCTGTACACAAATGAAACACAGGTAAATCGTTGGTTTTCTTTCAGTTGTTTCCAGTTTGCACTGCTCTCACAGTAACATCATTAAGACTCATGGAGGACTTGCCCCTTTTCACACAGATATTAATGCCTGCCTAGAAGAAAAACATACAAATGAAGAACTCTGTTTTTCAGTAAATAAAAACATTTACAGCACTTAAACTCTAGAAATGTGAACACAGTTAAAATAGAAGACTCTAATATTAAAAAGTAATTTTAATTCGTTATGCTAAATCTTTCATAATTATGTCGAGACTTTTACCAAAAAGTTTCATAGGATATTTTGGAGATGTGCATCAGCCATCATTTCTAGATTTCTATCCAGCATTATTAAGCTTTCTTTAAAGGTTTACCTGTACTGCTAAACACCGGAAGACACATGCTTGTTACCTGCTAGTGAGGTACTTCCTTGTGCTAGAAATGTTGAAGGTGCCCATTCTTCTCTCAAAGGAAAAAATTAACATGAATTTCTAAAATAAAATACACTTCATGAACTTGCTTCTATATATCCAGAGGACTGCACTTTACATGCTTACTGTGATTTTAACTTTAAGGCATATTTGCCTGCCTAGATTTAAACAGCGGAAACAACCCTCACAACTGGTTAATAAATCACTTTGAATTAATTCTGTGCCGACACATTTTAGTTCAGAAAAAAAAAAAAAAAAAAAAAAAAAGAGGCCTTGAAAAGCGTGACAATAAGTCTGAAATATCTTGATAATTTACAAGAATTTATGAGAGAAAAGTCACCGTGCAAATCAGCTTGCTTTTTATCTCACAGCTTAGCCACAAGTACAACCTACTGAAGTTTTTGCATACTTTAATGCCACTTTTTGAGAACACCCAAAAGACCACTATTTAGGACTAGCTTCTTTGTTAATAAAACTACGTACTGACGTACACAGATACAAAGCCCAGATAAATAAGAGAGGTGCCAAACGAAACAAGAGGAAGTCAAGTCTTTATCAACCGCTCCACCCATCCTTGGCTAGAAACACCCTCAGAAGTCCACCTTTTCCAGTGTCTATTCCTGTAAAAATCTGAAACTGCTTCCCTACTGTAACTTGACCAGTTAAACATTACCAGACACGGTCAAGAAACTACCCTAACCATTTCCTAATGTTGAAAAACAACTCGTCACGGGAGCCGTTGAAGTTACTCGCCCCCCCTAAACATAAGCATGTTTTCCTCTGGCCTGGGAGAGCGCAGACCCTGCTCGAAGCTACGGTCACACTTGAGGAAACACCCGGGCTCGCCTTTATTTCCTTCAGCTGAACCTCCTGCCGGCCCCTGCTTCCCGGTTTCGGGGCAGGGAAGCGCCCGCAGGGAAGGTGAGGTCCGGGGGCGCGCCCCACTCCGCGGGCCGCGGGACACCGGCGGGGCA